CTGTTCTGTAGGAACAAGGGCCACTCTGCTCTCTCTAGAACCAGGTATCCACACAGGGAACACAGACTGCTGGCTTTAAGATCACTGCTTCTCTAAGGAGGGGATGGGGCTAAGGTAAGTTAAAATACCACAAAAATCTTAGCTGTTTCAGTGGCCTTTCTCTTGGTTAAGTATTTGCTTGGTTGCTGTAAACTTTTTTTTTTTTTTGAAATGGAGTGTCACTCTGTCGCTCAGGCTGGAGTGCAGTGGCACAATCTTGGCTCACTGCAACTTCCGCCTTCCAGGTTCAAGCAATTCTCCTGCCTCAGCCTCCCAAGTAACTGGGAGTAATTTTTTACTCCCAGCTAATTTTTGTATTTTTAATAGAGACAGCGTTTCACCATATTGGTCAGGCTGATCTTGAACTCCTGGCCTCAAGTGATCTACCCGCCTCGGCCTCCCAAAGTGCTGGGATTACAGGCATGAGCCACTGGACCCGGCCCGTTGCTGTAAACTTTCAACTATCTCCTAGCATTCTGATAAGGTTGATTCCAACAGGTTTTGCCAAGTTTTTCAGTGTTTCTGGGGAGAAATGGATCCCCTACTCTGCCATTTTCAATAATGCCACTTCTAACCTCCATGCCTTTCTAGTATACTCAATTTCTATCTTTTTATGCTGTTCTCTTTTTTTTTTTGTTTTGTTTTGAGGTACAGTCTCCTCTGTCACCCAGGCTGGAGTGTAATGGTGCGATCTCGGCTTACTGCAACCTCCACCTCCCAGGTTCAAGTGATTCTCCTGCCTTGGCCTCCTGAGCAGCTGGGATTACAGGCACCTGCCACCACACCCAGCTAATTTTTGTTTTTTTTTGAGATGGAGTCTCACTCAGTTGCCCTGTCTGGAGTGCAGTGGTGTGATCTTGGCTCACTGCAACCTCTGCATCCTAGGTTCAAGCTATTCTCAAGCCTTAGCCTCCTGAGTAGCTGGGATTACAGGCATGCACCACCGCATTCGGCTAATTTTTGTATTTTTTAGTAGAGACGGGGTTTCACCATGTTGACCAGGATAATCTTGAACTCCTGACCTCAGGTGATTCACCCACCTTGGCCTCTCAAAGTGCTGGGATTACAAACATGAAACATTGCACCTGGTCAATTTTTATGCTGTTCTCTAAGCCACTTCCTTAGAACCATCTTCTAATTCACTAACTCTCTCTTTGTCTATGTCCATCTAAGATAATGTATATCTCATTTATTGAGGGTTTATTCCCCCAATAACTTACTTTTTTCATTTAGGAAATTATTTTCAGGATTTCTAATTTTTTTATTAATTTTTAATTTTTAAACTTTTCATTTTGAAATAATTTTAGATTTACAGAAGAGCTTCAGAGATAGCATAGCAAACTCTTGTATATCCTCCACCCAACTTTCCCTAATGTTAACAGTGACATAATGTCTTGCATAACTCTGAGACATTTATCAAAAAAACTAAACTTAATACCATACTATTAACTTTATTCAGATTTCCTTAATTTTTCTTTTTCTTTTTTTCTGTTCAGCATCCAATCCAAGACACCATGTTGAATCCAGTTGTCAAGTCTCAAATCCGTGACCGTTTCTCAGTCTTTCATTGTCTCATGACCTTGGCATTTTTAAAGAGTACTGGGCAGGTTATTTTGTCTAATGTTCCCCAATTTAGGTTTTTGTCTGATGTTTTCTGTTAAACTAGGCTTATAGATTTTGGGGAAGAATGCTACAGAGGTAAAGTGCCCTTCTCATCACATCACATAAGGGGGTATATGATATAGTCTGACATTATTATTTAGGTTAACTTGATCACTTGGTTAAGGTGGTATCTCCATTGTGCAGTTGCTATTTTTCCCTTTCCATATTCTATGCATTAGAAGTGAGTCACTGAGTCCAGTCAATACTGAAGAAGAGAGAAACTGAGCTGTGCTTCCTGGACAGAGATGAATCAAAGAATATGTGTTCTTTATTTATTTATTTAGACACAGGGTCTCACTGTATCTCCCAGGCTGGTCTCAAACCCCTGGCCTTGAATGATCCTCCTGCCTTGGCTCCCCACAGTGCTGGGATTATAGGCATGAACCAATGCACCAGGTCTCTTTTTATGTTTATTCAATTTGTTATTCTTCCTTTATCCCTTTGAGGATCCGAGGCATACTTGTGTTGAAGCCTTCTATTTCTGTTGTTTGTTTTCTTAGATTGAGAGTATCTGTGAAAGGAGTCTTCTAAAGATTGTTTTTTTTTTTTTTTTTTTTTGCATTTATCTAGAGTGAATTACCCTCCTAATTATGGAGGAGTTTATTTTGCTTGTTTTTTTGGTTTTTTTTTTTTGTGTGTGTGTGTGTGGTAAGGAATCTGTCCTCTTTACAATTAATTTTAATAAGTTGAGGAAATTTATTTGCGGGTTCATCTTAGAGTGGGAAGTTTTGCAATTTTGTTCACTTTCGTTTTGCTATATCCTTCCTTCTTTCTCACTGCTCTCACCATCCTTATCTAGGGTTTTTGCGAATTCAGTCACGGCCCTGTATGTTTGGCATAGATCCCGGTTTTGTGGCCATGTCTATGTTGGCCTGGTTCCTAGGTATGAAAGTTACAAAAGCTGCCGTCCCAGGCAGCAGAGGGCAGCAGCTTATTTCAGCCTCTTTTTCTCACCTCAGCCCCTAGTTTTATGAACTGAGACAGATTCCAACCCACTCTGAATGGAGCATTTTCCTCTATCAGATTACTTTTTTACTTTGAAAAAAAAATACATCTACATGTATTTTTGAGAGTAGGTCTCACCCTGTTGCACAGGCTGGAGTGCAGTGGCTCAATCATAGCTCACTGCAACCTCCACTTTCCCAGGCTTAGGTGATTCGCCACCTCAGCCTCCCAAGTAATTGGGACTACAGGTGCAAGCCACCATGCCCAGCTAATTTTCATATTTTTTTTATAAGCAGGGTTTTATCATGTTGCTCAGACTAGTCTCAAACTCCTGGCCTCAAGTGATCCACCCACCTCTGCCTCCCAAAGTGCTATGATTACAGGTGTGAGCCACTATGCCCAGAAAAAATAATGTTTTTAATAAACACAAAAATAAAATAGATAAGTTCTCATAAAATTACTATATTTAAACAAGAAGGGCCAGGCGCGGTGGCTCACGCCTGTAATCCCAGCACTTTGGGAGGCTGAGGCGGGTGGATCATTTGCAGTCAGGAGTTCAAAACCAGCCTAGCCAACATGGTGAAACCCCATCTCTACTAAAAATACAAAGATTAGCCAGGCATGGTGGTGGGCACCTGTAATCCCAACTACTTGGGAGGATGAGGCAGGAGAATTGCTTGAGGTCAGGAGGCAGAGGTTGCAGTGAGCCAAGATCACACCATTGCACTCCAGCCTGGGCAATAGAGCAAGACTCTGTCTCAGAAAACAAATGAACAAACAAACAAACAAACAAAAAACCAACAGGGAAAAATTTGTGTGTGCCATTTTATTTCAATAAATACACAAATAGGTGGTAAGAATACACACACAGTGAAGGAACATCACAGTATTTATTGCGTTTATTTCTTGGAAATGGTTTTTGGTTATTGTTTTGAGACAGGATCTCCTCTCACTGCAAACTGCACCTCCTGGGCTCTAAAAACCCTCTAACCTCAGCCCCACCCCCATTAGCTGGGACTACAAGTGCACACCACCACACCTGGCTACTTTTTGTATTTTTTTGTAGTAACAGGGTTTCACCATGTTGCCTGGGCTGGCTGTAAACTCCTAGTCTCAACTGATCTGCCTGCCTCGGTCTCCCAAAGTGCTGGGATTACAGGCATGAGCCACCACCGGCTGATAATGGTCTTTAAAGACATTTCTGGACATTTGTGATCAGAGGAAAAATGTTGCCTAATAGTCTAATAATTTTTAGAAAATATTTGTTCCATTTTGTAAGCCATTTTATTTTTCTATCATTAGTTGATGCCTGTGTGTGTGTGTGTGTGTGTGTGTGTGTGTGTGTGTGTGTTTTTGGTGGGGGGGTACCAAATTTCTTTATTTGAACGAATGGTACAAATCAAAGAACTTAAGTGGATGTTCTGGTACAACTTACAGAAAAGGTAAAGGAAACCCCAACATGCATGCACTGCCTTGGTGACCAGGGAATTCACCCCATGGCTATGGGGAAATTAGCCTGAGGCTTAGCTTTCATTATCGCTGTCTCCCAGGGTGTGCTTGTCAAAGAGATACTCTGCCAAGCCAGATTCGGGTGCTCCCATCCTGCGCAAATTGGTCACGTGGTCACCCAATTCTTTGGTGGCTTTCACCTGCTCATTCAGGTAATGTGTCTCAATGAAGTCACACAAATGGGGGTCATTTTTGTCAGTGGCCAGTTTGTGCAGTTCCAGTAGTGACTGATTCACATTTCTTTCCAAATGTAACGCACACTCCATCGCATTCAGCCCGCTCTCCCAGTCGTCATAGTCTGGTTTCTTGATATCCTGAAGGAAGATTCGGCCACCTCCTTGGTTCTGCAGCTTCATCAGTTCTCAGCATGTTCCCTTTCCTCATGAGATTGGTGAAGAAAGTATTTGGCAAAGTTCTTCAAAGCCACATCATCGCGGTCCAAGTAGTAGAACATGGACAGGTAAACGCCGGAAGCATAGAGCTCCAGGTTGATCTGGCGGTTGATGGCGGCCTTTGAGTCCTGGTGGTAGTTCTGGCGCACCTGCGAGGTGGACGCGGT